ACGTTAAAACTCATTGTTTAGAATATGTTTTTGAAGCAAAAAATGATAGAAAGAAAAAGAGCATTTTTGGGTGCACTGCTTGACCAAGCGTAAAGCGTGATTAATTCAGCAGCTAGCATAGAGGAAGGGGCCAGAAGCTCTTTACAGGAAGGCTTGACCCACTTTCTGTATCACATGGTACACGGCAAAAACTGCTCTTAATAACCATCAGGAAGATATCAGATTTACATATAATTCATATTAATCAGAATTAAAATGGGGAACAAAAGTGTATTTATAAGGTTGATGTTTAATTCTGTCTGTAATGAACTCTGATGCTGTGGAGTGGCTTTGCTTTTGTGCTCCGTCGCTCCCCTCCATCAGTCGAGGTAGGTTCAAAGCGCACATGGCTTTTGATGCAATGCTGGTTCAGATACACAGCCGTTGTGTTCCCGCAATCAGCACACACAGATGCAGCACTGAATTCTGAGCATGCTTAAGAGCCTACTCATTTGTTTTTTGCCCGTTTGTGTTATCTCATGTTTAACATTCTCAAAATAGAGCTCTGAGATCCTGTACCATTCAAAACCTGATTTAATGAAACCACAGTGACACGACTGAGCACATGAAATGCAAAGAGCTCTTCATTAAAATACTAGACATTTACCAGGTGCAGTTTCCTAGGCCTGCTCTCCTTAAACCAAACATTCTGGTTTAAATTATGTTGCCATGCTAGCGTGGCACCTCTGAAGTTTGGGTTTAATGCAGTGCATTGATTTTATTGATTAACTTTTATGCAAAGCTAGCCTCTCTCATTCTTAAAGTGCAGGTTGAGTGAGGGGAAGGAGGTGAGAACAAGTGCTTTAAAGGTGCACAGGGATTTTTTATGTTCAAAAAACTATTTAATGGTCTGAATAAATCAGCTGGAAGTAATGTAGGGGAGTAAGTGGCCGCCATTCATCAGCATGGCTCTTCCTGTTTTTAAAGCAGATTTTCAAAACTCCTTCCTAACGCCCATGTCAGACTCTTAAGAATTCAATCACAGTACAATAGGCAAATTAAAATTGTAATAATGTTTTATTTTTTTTTGCAAAGCTTTCTCCCACTCCTACACCTTTATCATATTGGCTAGGGAGTGTGAGTGAATGCTGCGACCTTTTTGGAAGCCATCAAGCAGAGCAAATATGGTTCATCAAAATCGCTGAGGCTAACAGTGACTCAGAGCTTCCATTAATACATGCATAAGCTGATACTCTATGAACTGAAGCAATTGGATGACTCAGTGAATAGGATTTCAAATACTCCTGTTTCAATTCTACATTTCCACTTTCAGTTCGAGATCCTTGCTTTTTTACTGCCATCTCACCTAGTGATGTTAGAGTGGCTTGCACTCTCAGCAGAGGATGTGAGAACTGTGATAATGCTTAAACACCAGCACTCTTTAGGACTGTGCCATTTTAATGACTTTGTTCTAGAGCAGCAGTGCCTGAACTTTTTAGGGTGCCAAAGTGCAATGTTTATGGTGGGCTGTGGACCAAAACACAAAGCAATATACAAATAAAGAATGTAGGTAGATTTTAAATTGGGTTTTTACAAATGTATTACATTTCACTATATTTTGTCACTAAAAAAAAAAAAAACTATCAAAAGGAAGATAACTAATGAAATCAGTTTCTATATAGTAAAAGAAAAAAAACCTGTTTGTTCTCTCATTGGGTGAGGCGGTAGGTTTAGGCTAATTTTCTGGTGAGCCAAATGAAACTTCCTCACAGGCCAGTTTGGTTTGCAAGCCACATTTTGGGCAGCGCTGTTTTAGAAAGTTCCTAAAATTGCACTGTTAGTTCAGAAACATACTTCACACAAGTACACAAAAGCTTCTGTGCAAACATTGTTTTGTGCGTCACTGCGTTCTAAAGTGTAATGACACAATTAAACATAATACAAGCACAAGCTGCATTCTGAGCGTTGCAGCAAGGGGCACTACAGCGACAGCCAAGCTTGGCCAAGCTGTCTTGCACTGCCATCAGGTCTTTGTCTGGGCAGCTGTCAGTGTACATCAGCAGTTTGACGAGTCATGCAGAACTGGTTTGCTCGAATAAATGGGTGCATATGATGTATGAATATATACATCATTGCCTCTTCATTACAATAGAACAAACGAAGTAGCATAGTTGTGGCTGTTGGAATAACAGTAGATCCTGTTCAAAGATGATTTGATATGTCTGCTATCTGTTTAACCTTCACACTAACACACGTTGAGTTTGTATAGCAGGACTGTGCGTTTGTAATGCATTGGGCAAGCATTGTCATTTGTGTTTGCATTGTTGTGTTACAGACCAACAGTTATGCCAAAATAGACCAACAGGGGCTCTGTTTTCTTTGTTGTCCTGTGCTCAGTGGTTGTATAGTTGTATTTATTATATATTGTAGAGCAGAATTTATTGTATAGTGTTTATTTAGTTTGTCCATATTTATTGTCTGTCTGCACTTTAGTCTGCTGCTGTTCTGTGATAAATGTACCACGTCCTGGAGAAACAACAATAAAGCTGACTTTGACTTGTGTTTCTGGCCCTAGAGTTTTGTAATGACCATGACTAAGAATCAGCATGCAATGTGGTTGGGTCATGTCTGGCTGACCCCCAGTCTGTTTACTAAGGTTAGTACTGGTGCCAATACTGATCCGGTATATCAGGTCAATGCATCACTAGTTCTGGAAGCAAAGATATGATATGATAAGAAAAGCTTAACATGACTTAATTCATCCTGATAATGATATGATATTGCCCAGCTCTGGTGAGGAGGCTGTATTACTCCAGCAGTTGTGTACTGAGTCTGATCTTTTCATGTTTTACCTGGTCACGGACTGCTTCAAATAAAAGGAAAGGGCGAGTGGTTAGAGCAGTCTTAGTGGTTTGATTTCTGTTCGTTTGTGGCCTGGCCTTCTTCCTCTCAGAGCGGATTAGGGATTTTTATGCAATCTGTACTCTGCAGGGAGATTGGTGGACAGCTGGCTGCAGATTTCATCTGTCCATCTCATTCTACCACTCTCTGATTTCACTCTCATATAACTCATGCACTCTCTCTCTCTCTCTCTCTCTCTCTCTCTCTCTCTCTCTCTCTCTCTCTTTTTTTTTATCTCCTACACACATATCTCAGATCCTCTACACGCACATTCGGAAACGGGGAAAAAATCCTTAAACACACTATTTTTCTCCTGCTGTGCCATCATCTTCCATCTGCAGTCTTCATCACTCACTCCCTCCATCTTTTCCTCTGCCCCTCTGCTCCCTGTCTGTACGTTCCACTGGAAGAGCTTAATGTTTCAATCTCTCAATCTCTGTTGGGTGACTGCTGATCCGCAGACCGCACAACTGTGGACAGCACGAGAGAGAGAGAAAGAGACCTGCATCAGCGCTGCGGGCCACTCTGTCTCTTTGGCTTTGCTGTGTAGTATGATGGCCATTATAACCGATATGAAAAACTAGTGGGAGGAAATAAGTCTCTTTTCATTTTTATGCTAAATCAATCAAAGATTTGACCAAAGTGTGTTTTTCATGTGTAGATGCAATCAAGAAAAGAAGACATGTCAAAGTAACTCAAACAGCATGTGTCTGTCTTTTCCCTGCTTTTCTTAATTTACTTCTATAACCTTTGGATACTCTAAAAACTGGTTTGCCAGTTGTTTTTGTTGTAACTATAACTATTTGAGTGTTTGAAGCAGTCATGTGTAAGTTTTAGTTAGCGAGGTGAAATGAGATTTGTGCATTGCTGAATGCTGCTTTGAAAGGAAATGACCACTCCATTCCTTTATTCCCTGTATGCGGTCAGTGCAAGCTTTCTGAATCTCGGATTCATTTTTAAGTGCAGTGACTTTTCTGTTCTGTCACAGAGCTGTTTTGGCATTGAGCAGCCGTGTGTGAAATATTATTTATGGGATCTTAGATATGCTGAGGGTTTTTTTTCACTAGCAAAAACCGTTTGTCCTGGTGTTTCTGTTGTAACTGTTTAGGGTTTTTCACCACAAGAATATTCTAAAGCTGGATGTTAAGTGATTGTAGAGATATCATCGATTGATTTTAACTCCAAAGATGTACAGTATGGCAGCAAAATTTGTGACTTGAATTTATGAGAATTGCTCCCTCTTGTGTTCAAAGTATGCATGTATAATATCACCAGTGATGTCACATCAAGCAAACATGGCACTCCTTAAAATACCTTTAAAGGACCCATATCATACATTTTTCTTGTTTTTTTTATTTTTTCTCTCCACGTCCACGTTTGTGTGGGTTTATACCAAAAACAGTTCACATCGCCGCTGTCAAAAGAAAAACAAGTATCTCCAAAATGGTAACTTTCCTAGAGAGGGCTTTACTTTCAATGTAATTTAATGCAAGGAGATTTTATTCCAAGCAAACGGGAGCATTTCTGTTGGTCCATTCATCATGAAATTTTCCAACAATGTAAAGGGTAGCTGTCCTGCTCAAATGATGTAGAAAAGTAAAAATAAAAAATGGAGATACATGTTTTTCTTTCAACCATGATGATAAATCATTCATTTTTAAATGACTATTTTCCAACCTCTCTACCTCCTGTAGAATTGAACAGGCTGTTTTTATTACCTGTCTTTTAAGATCAACTTATGTAAATGAGTTTTGTTCTGATTGGCTGCTTTGTATTGTGCATAACACATAAAGCAGTCTGTGATGAAAGACTCTTTGTATTTTCAGTGTGAATGGGTGGAGCTAAACTGAATAGGCCCGAGTTGTAAATGAGCTGGTTTTAGTGACATCACAAAAACAGTGACTTAAAAACTTCATTTATGGACTGTATAGAATTGGGAAGCGAACAGTCTGTTTTGAAACTAATGATGTTTACGTACTACATTGACCCTTTTATTTTAAAACACAGGAAAATTCAGTTTTCCACAACATGTGCCCTTTAATATGAAGAGAGTAGATAACAATACTGCCCTCTGTCATGTTTCTACATGTTACTTACCTGTCTGCATATACACTCTCCAGGTGACTGGTTGGCTGCCGTACCATCTCTCTCTTCCTGCTCCTGGGGATTTCCTGTCACGTGACCATACTCCTGCTTCTCCTCCAATCCCAGAATGGAACCCAGCAAAGTGCAGTCAGAGGGCGGGCTCAATGTCACCCTCACCATCCGCCTCCTCATGCATGGCAAAGTAAGCACACAGAGAGCACTGGGGGTGGGGGATGGGGTGTGAGAGTAAAAAGAAAAGGAGGAATAGTGAGGAAGAGAGATAGTGAGAGAGGCTTATAAAGAAAAGGTGATGAGCCCCAGTTTGTATATGTAGGATGCCTCCTGTCACACTGAAAAAAAAGATATCTTATCAGTAGTTAATAACTAATATTAACTAATAATTAATATTTCTCATGTAAAGATTGTTGTAAGAATATAAAAAGATTATTTTACCTATTTCTATATGTTTTTATTTGGTTTAAGTAATTCTATCTAGTGAAGTTATCTCATTCTATTGGAAGAACATTTACACATATTATAATTATTTCAAGAAATAATGCTTGAAACAAGTAAAATTATCTGTCAGTTGAATGACACTTTCATAAGCCTTATTTAAAGAAATGTAAAATTGTATAGAAATAAGTTCAGTAATCTTATAATATTCTTACAATAAAAAAATTGAAATAGAAGATTATTATTAGATTACATTTAAGATATTTTCACTTGCTAAGATATAATTTTTTGCAGTACACCATAGTGAAAAACTGAAATATAGCAAAATTATCGTTGTACACTGTCACAGTAGTGCAAAATAGAACAGTCCAGGAGCACAGTGTTAAATATTTGAAAAACGTATGTATTATGTTATATTAAACATCCAGCAAATTACGAATGATTAAAAAACAGAAATATAGTATAACACAGCTTAAAAAACACTGATCAGACCTGTCTGAGAACTGTCTGTGCATGGTCCTAGTATTCTAATGAGCACATTTGTTTGACGGTCGAGCATCCAAGACTCCCAGCCTGCTATGCCACTGAAGCAGACCTAATGAACGAACGGGCAAGCAGATGACAGACAGACAGATGAAGTAGCTTGATAAAGCAATTATGTGTCCTAGGTTAGCTTTCGCTTGGTCGTTAGCTTTTGCTCGGTACAATTCTCTGACTTAAACCGAGAGCGACAATGAGCGAACACAGTTTTTTTCAAGCTGGGACAAACCACATCAGCCTTGCAATTGGTGAGGGTAATACTTACATGAGCTTTACTCAAGATTAGGACTACCAGTTTACATCAAAGGAGGGGAATTCTGGTGAAAAACATCAGCTAATTAATGGACACACGCAAGTTATTCACAAAACATGCATCATAATTCGAATAGAATTATGATGCAGGAAAGAGATTTAAAGCATTAATGAAGTTTCATATGTTGTCCTATTACAGTAATATGTTTCTCTCTCTTTGCTTTTACCTCTACAGGAAGTTGGAAGTATCATTGGAAAGGTATGTTAAGTGTACACACTTTCCTATAAGAACATACCTTAAATCAGTGTTTACCAGCTCTAGCGCTGTAGCCTGTCTGCACTGCACAATCTCACTGTAGGGAAAATATGAAACTGCCCTGCAGGTGCTCAGATGTCTTTTAAAGTGTATGTTTGAACATTTTAAAGTAATTCCATTTCTTAAGAATTCTCAAAGCTGTTTTTGCTTCTCAGAAAGGGGAAACTGTGAAGAAGATGCGTGAGGAGGTGAGTAAACTCTCTCTGTCTCTTTACCCTTCAGCAGTGACTGAGCCCAGGTTGCAGGATTAAAACTACAGTCAGGGATTTTAGAGGAACTGTGACACTCCCTCACTGAGGATTGTAAAATACTAAAAGAACTGAGGGCAAGTTTCTTTTAGACACCTGAGCTTGGAATGCAGTCAATAATATTATATAAATAGTTCAGTGAAAAATTGGGGTGTTTAGTTCTGCATTGGAGATAAGAGGATAAAATCTGACTTTTTTGTCAAAATATCCCTTTAAAATGTGGTATTTAAAAAAATGTAAATGATTTATTTGTGTATGTATTGTTATATGTGTTCGTATATGTAGGAAGGGGGGTCCGAACCTAATTATTGGTTCTTACAAAGGATAGAATGTACATATTAATTTGGAAAGGAGCGCAACTAAAACTTGTTACTGAATAATGTTTTAAATACATTGGTCACCAATCACTGACTTAAGTTTTGTGTGGTCTGCAGAGCGCTGCTCGCATTAACATCTCGGAGGGGAACTGTCCAGAGAGGATCGTCACCATCACAGGACCCACAGACGCCATTTTTAAGGCTTTTGCCATGATTGCCTACAAGTTTGAAGAGGTATATTTTATTAGTCCCAATGTTACTAGTGGAACAGACTAGTTACTAGTTATAGTAATCTCTTGCTTTTTGGTCTTAACATACCTGAATATCTAAGAAATAGCATCATGGTACTAGGTGGACCAAAGCCTGTTAGTTTATCCTGACCAGTCTGATGTTCCAGCAGTTTCTGAATGTGCTCAGTGCCATGGTTTTCCTGAACTGCCAGTCAGAGTGAAATGAACTGGCTCACAACAGTTAGAACACCAGTCAGCAATCATTGTAGCTGGCAGGGCAGAATCAGCTTACAACGTCAATTGGGAAAGTGCCACAAAATGATGCAGTGTGTAAAGAGCCAGTGTTTCTGTAGCAGTATGTCTGCTGTTCCTGATCAGGGCTTTAACACTCAGAGATTTGACACCTTTTCCTTTTTGTCATGCGTCCGTAGGATATAATCAACTCCATGAGCAACAGCCCAGCCACCAGCAAGCCCCCCGTCACCCTTCGGCTGGTGGTCCCAGCCAGCCAATGTGGCTCTCTCATCGGAAAAGGTGGCTCCAAGATCAAAGAGATGAGAGAGGTACAGTTCCTTTCGCATTTTTGTGTTCAAAGACACGACAATAAACAGCTATTTTACTGCATAGAGTCTGAATGTATTACTATCGTATTCCTAATGTATTACTATCCCCAGACTGGACAGTATTGTTATGATTCAGTATTGTAAACTTTTGTTTGTACAAAAGTTTGTGTTTTTTTTTTTATAGTTTACATGTTCTTTCCATTCTAACATCTTTAAATGTAATAAAGTAAAATTCACCTCATAGTGTTTACATATCTAAACAGTGTGGAGAGTTGCTCAGCTATCCTAATGGAATAATCAAAGTACTTTGGCCCTTGGGAGTAAACACAGCACTATGTTATTAAAGAGCTTTATTATTAACTGGCTACGTGATGAATCATTTGTAAGTGCATTGACATGTATGTGTGTGTGTGTGATTGACGTATACAATTATAGCTTTTGTGTTTGATGAATATCATGTGCCTATGTACCAATACAGTTCTATGCAAAAGTCAGACACCAATCGTCTTTATTTTGATTTTAGTCAAAGCAGTCATTAAATACAAGTTATTTATTTTTCAGTGTCAGAAAAAAAGCAAAAAACATATATTTAACAAAATTATATAGAAGCCTCAACAACTAAATACAATATCTATTTTGCTGTATTTGGTGTGTCCATTCATTGCCTTTTTTACAGCTTCCATTCCTGTTGGGAGACTTCTTTCAGTTTTTCAAAGAAATCTGCAGAAATTACATTTTGTCACTGTCACACAAAAACATTGTATAAATACATTTTTATTGTTTTTGTACTTTTTTGCATACTTTGGAAACTCCCTTTGCATTTTGTTAAAATTCCATGAAGAACAGACCAACAGAAATACTCCAAAATTACATAAAAAATCTTGATCCATTAACTGCTGCCACGAATTAAGAATGTTTTTTCTTCTCCTGTAAAATAACCATTTTGGAGATATGAGGTTTTAAGCCTGACATGTTTGAGTCTGTGCATCTGACTTTCTTTAGTTTGTTTAGCTGTCAACAATGACAAAAACATTACAAAAATGTAAAATATGTTTTTCTCTTTTTACAACAGAAGACTGTTCACACAAATACTGAAGCAACTTCTCTTTAAAAAATGTGTTTTTTATTGAACATTTAGAATCTGCAGTTTAAACAGAATTTCCCTACTTGTTTCAATGAGCTATGAGTGAGAAATAGCTAGTAGAAGATGTAAGAAGACGTGTTTCGAGGTTTACACCATGGAGGACCTTGGACTATTAACTATTAAGTTTGTGTGTGTCGTGTGTGTGATGTTTTTTATCTCTCTCCAGTCCACAGGAGCTCAGGTGCAGGTTGCTGGAGACATGCTGCCTAACTCCACAGAGCGCGCCGTGACAATCTCGGGCACCCCTGAAGCCATCATCCAGTGTGTCAAACAGATATGTGTGGTCATGCTGGAGGTACAGTGAGGTGGCCAGTGTGGCCGGACAAAGCCTTTGAGACAGCTCATGCACAAGCACATACAAACTCAAACACACATACTCTTATTCTCATATGCCACTCACATATACCTTCATATACCTTCATTAGGCTTGCTAGCAGAGACCCCACACCCCCAGACTTATCTGCTTCAGATTCAGTATTTTAGTAGCCATGTTTGCTGTGAATAACATTTGGGCAATCACTGTCGATTATATCAATAAACGAGTGATCTACTGGTAATTTTTATGACTAATAGAGTAATCAGAGTTTTTAAAAATGCCAAACCATATAAACGTACCTACCATTCATAGCCTTTCAAAACACTCAGCTCTATCACAGCAAATGTCTCGCTGCCAGTTCAGTCAGAGACTTTGGCAGTATCCTATTTAACTTGTTTAAATCTGCCACCAAAGGAGTTACGGAGGAGTTATTGAGTTTAGTCAAGTAATTGTGACAGACCTACCAAAACACACTCCCCTTCAGCCCCCTGGTGAGAGAGTGTATAGTTTACCATTGCTCTGTTGAGACACGCATGGCCCTTGTGCTGGTTCTGTCTCTCTCTGCATATCGATTGCAGTGTTATTCTGGTCCAGCAGTAGCATGCAGGGCCACATGAGTGCCTAGGGGGACTGAGGGCTTTGACGGGACAGTATTGAATGGCTCTCATTCTTTTCTCTTGTTCCAACTCAGACCTGATGCTGCCACACCAATCAATGCGCTGGCAGAAGCAGTCGCCTCCTTTATGTATACGTTCTTTAGCTCTCTCTGTCGGGGATGTCTTCCATTGCACATCTCCATGAGATTTTCATTTCTTTTATTTCTCAGTGATATTTTTGGTGCATGGATAAAGAGAATAAAGAGAGAAGGGGTAGACCATGACAATGTCAAGGTCCACTTATCGTCAGATCCACTGTGCCCCTGTGTGCATCTGAAAAGAAATAAAGTACCCCCCTTGCGGTGTTACATGACACAAGGACGATCATTAAACAGACAATAACAGACAATACAGAGGAGCAACATAGCAATAGATTTACAATACCGAGGGTAATGCTAAGACAGACACACAGTGCAGATGCTCTGGGTAAGACATAAAACATTGTTTAATGCACATTTGCATTGTTTATTCAATTGCAATAGACAATAGACAGAGCAAATGGCTCAGGAAAGAGAAGGACGGAGAGGAGAGAGAAAGAAAGAAAGAAAAATAGAAAGAGAGTGAGTGAGTGTAGTAGATTGTTTTGTGCTTGGGGAGGTGCATGCTAGTCCTTGGTATATCCCATAGTGTCATAAGCTGAAGATTCAGTCTCAATGCTGAAGACTGCCTTGTGCCAGCCATTTTAGATTTTTATTTCTTTTTTTATTTGCACTGAGTTGTTTCAGTACACCTACCTTATATCTACACTCATTGGTCATTTTATCAGAAATACTGACCATATAGATGCACTCTGTAGGTGTAAAGCTACTGACTGTAGCCCATCAGTTGTGGGATGAATTGCCAGCCATATTCTACTCTGTCCATCAATGGAAAGGGACCATCACTGATCGGATATTATGTAGGTGGTAAACCATTATTAGCATAGCAGTGACACTGAGATGGTAGTAGGCAGTATGATGTGTTATTTCATCACATGATGATATCATAGGTAATGAGCACTTAGGAAACACTGAACAACGGCATGTATCATAAAAAAGAAATTTAGATCAGTTACATAGAGCATGAATACAACAACAAGTTAAATAGCTGCATAAATTACATAGAAGCAAATAATCGATTGGATATCAGGTTGTTAGAACATTATTTAAAGGGACACTCCAGCCAAAATGAAAAATGTAACCATTTCTGCATCTATTGTAAACATGCCCTCTCACCTCCTACAGCAGTGCTACAAGAGTCTCCAGAGTGAGATTTTCTGCTTTAAAGACTAGGAAAACCCACTAATGATGATATATGTTGAAGGTGGGAAGAAAAACTACAAATCCCTTGGTGTGGATATTTGAGGGCAGGCCATTGGATTTTGTATTCTTTTTGTCCCTCTAACTGGATAATGCTGAAAGAAGCTAAATAGCTTCTTCTAGGAAGCTGAATATCACAAAAACACAAATGGTTGAAAACTACTCAAGGATGAAAACACAAAAGGGATATAAATTATGAATTCTGTCAAACTGGTGAGGCTGAGGGATGCAGTGCTGCACAACAGAATGTTACATAACATAACAAATAATTGAATACTAGTTTTAGGTCAGAATGCCCCTTTAAATTGTTCATTTGTTTTTTTTCTAATTGATTTCATCTCCTATTTCTTCTTTAGTTCACTTTTTCAAACAATAAATTAAAAAAGAATCATTGTGCTCATTGTAGTTTTTCATAGCCTTTTCTAAGCATGATGTGACTGTTTTGCTGGTCCACTGTGTCTGTTCCAACTTAAAATTATAGTTTCAGTGTTTAATGTTTTATTTATTTCTTTTGCCAACATGTTAAACTCAACACAAAAATAGAAATCATGCACTAAAAGGTGCAGGAAAATGTCATATTTAAGTTTTACAAAAACTGTTTTAAAGCATCATGATGCTATATATTAGCCAGGTCACCCACCCATACATGGTAGTGGCACATTAGTTGGTGTTGTGTTAGTACAGTAGAATCAGGTGCCACAGTGCTGTGTACATTCACACAACACACACATCACATGCTTACTGACACACAAACACCTGTCTACACACTGTCTCTCTCAGGGTCTAACCTTGTCTCCGCCTCTTCCCTCTTCCCCTCTGCTAGTCCCCACCGAAAGGTGCCACCATCCCCTACCGCCCAAAGCCCGCCTCCACCCCCGTCATTTTTTCAGGTGGCCAGGTAAGAGCCGACCCACTGGCGGCGTCCGCAGCCAATCTCAGCCTTTTACTGCAGCACCAGCCACTGCCTGTTAGTGCATTCAGGTTTCTCACCTTTTCACATGCATGCTACTGTGCCAACCCAGCCAGGGGAACTGCTTGGCTCGGGGACAGAAAGGGGGAGAAGGAAAGAAAGAGGGGCTTGCTGTTCGACACATGCTGAGGAGAGTTTCCCTGTGTCTATAATTAGACTGGAGAACATCCTCTGCTATTATATAGGAGGAAAATTAGAAGGTAGTTCTCTATTCAGATGATGTTGGGACAGATGTGAACACTACAATATTGGCTGAGATAGTATTTGCACTGTATTTTGTATTTTCCATTCTGATCTAAGGATCATGTTCCACCATGTATTGTTTTTGGTGGAAGAAGCATCTCATGTTTATTTTGATATCAATCTAATGCTCCTTTGTGATGTCCGACATGCAAGCTCCTGATTTGCACTCTCTTCTCCCCTTTGAAGTAGATATCATATCCTTTTAATATGCCTAAAACGAATGCATAAAGCAAGTAGCCCACACTATAAATAGTTTCATAGGGAGGGGGGAATGTCCAGGGGTGTTTATTGGACCAATAAGGCATCCAAAATGAAGTGGTCACAAATGAAATAGGCAGTAATATTAAAGGGATATTGTATCTGGTGAGTTTGTCAGGCAAGTCATTCCAGCTCATTCATTAACCAAAACGACTCTACAGTGTGTGCTTCTAATATTCTCCTCTATACTCTAACTGATAGATGAAGAATTACGCCGTCTTTCCGCTCTTAACATTCCACTTACTCAACTTTAGCCACTCCATTTCGAGCAGCCATTAATTTTAGGTGGCCTCTTGAATGGAGTCTCACAAATTCAGAGCTTATGAAATTATCATTAGTGTCATATTTCTCAAGTGCAGTTTACAGAGAACAGCACAACAAACAAAATTGCTGCTTGCAGTACTGTGCATTTTATTTATTGTATTTCCAGTCCAAAAATGCCTTTAATAACAAGTTTGTTTTTTTTAACATCATTTAAAAACAGAAAATGTATTTAACCCTGAAGTCTGTTCCACGATGTTGACGTACGGCCCTGGAGTGGTCATTCCATTGTTCTGAGAACACTAACAGCTTATTTGTTTGATTTACAAATGTTCATCTTTTCGTCTATTTCCTTTTCTCAGTAACGGCTTATTGACAGCTACACATGCTTTCAGACTCATTTCAGTGTTGAATTGGAAGAATAATCAACACCACCTGTGGATTTTTTCAGATCTGAAGCATGGAGCTTGATTTTCTCCTCTCTCTGAAAGCTTTACATACTGTTTATCTGATGCGGACAGTTTTGGTGGTCTTCCAGATTTTGCACAGTTGTTAAGATTCCCTAATTCTCTATAACTTAATAATGGTTTGACCTCCACTTTTTGAAAATCCTGTTTTTTTTTTTCCTTTACCGTTCCCCTTTACTTATGCAAGTGGATGATCTTATATCTGATCTCCTCTGAAATATCTCCTGAAAAATTTATAACTTAATAACTTGTACTCAGTGGCTGTTTTGACTGGAAATTCAATAAGTGGAGGGTGGTCTCTCACTGTGGCACAGTACTGTAGAAAAACAAAAACACACTGCCAGATAAGTCGTATGAGATCTCTTGATGAAGGATGTCTAATTTGATGTTATGCCTTTGAATTATTCACACTTAACTATGTTTGAGGTGCTGAGATGAAGTATGAAATATTTAAAGAGCCTCTCGTGGTTATGATTCAGCTGATTGTGTTAATGGGCTGCTGGCAATGGTGTTGATTTCATTTTTTCTTTCTCTGTTTCTCTCACTCACAGGCTTACACAATTCAGGGACAATATGCCATTCCACATCCAGATGTGAGTTCCCAGTCTTGCCCCCGACCTCCCCCTCCCCCACCCCCAGCACCGTCAGCTGTCTGCATGGTTCTGTAGTTTTTCAACTTGGACCTCTATTAATATTAGCCAATAATATTAATATGACATTTCTGATGTGTAATTTTTGTCGCATTACAATCTGAAATTCTTCTCGACCTGAGCCCTCCGAGTTGTGGACCAGACTTCTTAGGACTTGGCCTATTGTGTTGGAAAATGACACCATCGCGGTAGCTGTCATTTTCTGGGGGAGTAGTTTGGCTTTTTTTTTATCCAGGGCTCAATATTGGAGCTCACACAGGCTTCCAGCTGAAAAATTAAAGAAGTGATTCAACTAAAAGGCTAAAAGTAAAATGCTAAAATAGTGCATTGTAAATAGCTAAGCACTAGATTTTATAGCCTGCTAGCATCCATTCAGCATTAGTCATCTTAACTAACTGGCTAAATTAACACTTTAACTCTCAAACAGCTGCTTTATGAACTGTTTGTGATGGTCATGAGTAAACAATATGATAATCCTGATCAAACAGGTTGGATTACATAAGTAAATGGCAGACGCCACCTCGGTCACCGAGAGCACCATCGTCTTCATTAATAATCAGAATGAATCAGTCTCAATCATAAGAGCATGTGGTGACATAGTGCGTGTCAGTTCGTCTCGCTCAGGATAGGCAGTGATTGATGCTTAGGGAGGCATTGGGTGACATTACAATCACTCAAATGGAGCTTGGGCATCCCCTTCACCCACGTTTATGCCCAGCTTTAGAGGACAAACGCAGCCCTCTGCATCAGTCTCGGCTAGAGCTGATGTCCATGAGGGATGATGAGGGGACTAATCGTAACCTCCAGTTTTATAAGAATGAGTAAAGTGGTTGAGAGAGTGGAGAAAAGCTCTATGTTCACTCTTCTGTTCACAGTTCTAATGGAAAACAGTTCACGTGGGGTTCAAGAACGTATTTAAGACCTTCAGCTTTACAGACGTTGTCATATTGCAGGGTTACATAAACACATAGACTAGACTCACCTCATCATTTATACAGGAGTAACCCTACTGGTGTCAGAGGACTAGAGCTCAGTCAGCTCTCTCCGAAAGCACGCACCGGAACAGTTTCACTCACAAAGCCAGGCCAAGTCCTACTCAAGTTTATCTTTTGCTCTCTCTCTCTTTTACTCTTCTTCTCTCTACTGTTCTTCTTCCACCACTGTGTGTCATGGCTTCTTCTCCTCGTCTTCTCTTTATTCTAGTTTTAGTTTCTTGATTTCTTGGTGTGACCTGTGTGTTATAACAATAACCTCTTAGTTTTACTGTCCCTCCTACCCCTTCAGCAGTTGACCAAGCTCCACCAGTTGGCTATGCAGCAAACCCCCTTTACCCCCCTTGGACAGACCACCCCTGCTTTCCCCGGTACGTACCCACGAGCCCTTTCAAAGTGTCCTTCTCTTTGTACCTCTAGAAACACTCTTTTGTCTTTCTCTCTCTTTCTCTCTTTCCTTTTCTCTCTGTGTCACGCTTCATGACATGCCCCTGGTGGTTGCTCTTCACTTTACTGTGGCCTTTTGGTTCTTTTGAACATTTTTGAATTGCTTTTTTAAATATTTTATTTATTTTTTTGCGTTTGCTTGAATGGTCAGCACTTGTAGGTAGCTTTACCAAAGATAACAGAACACTTACATTTACATTTAGTCACTTAGCAGACGTATCCAGAGCCCTTTAAAAACTTGCAAACAGTAGAAAGTGATACAAAAGAGTACCTAAAGGACGTACTTTAAGTATCTATAACTTAAGAGACAAGAGCCATATGATAGCTTTCTAAATAGGCCATACTAGCATATGCTAGCGTAATTAATAAACAAGCCATACCACAGCCTGCAAGCATGGCTATTTAAATAAATAAGTGGATTGAGGAGAATACATACAGAAAGAAAACGCAGTTTAAATGCAAAGGATTGAAGAAAAATGACTCAATTATTCAGAGAAAAATTCAGAAGAAGTGTAGAATGTCACAAATGCCCAGTGAGACTTCAAAGAAGAGGAAGAAGAGACTTCATTAGAAAAAATAAATAAATATAAGTGTTTGTGTACTTAGTTATAAAGAACATGGACATAAAGAACATAAAATTGTATATAAAGTTGGGAATATAATTCTTATTAGACTTGTATATCAGTATCTTGTAAAAGGCAAGCAAGGTGTCTTGAATAAAGACAGTGATATCCGGCCCCTTCTTTTCCCTACACGGGTAGTGAAAGGCTCACTCTTTTACATTGACATGATTGATTGAGTCCTTCAGCTGTCAGTTCTGGAGACAGATACTTCAGTATGCTGATTTCGGAATGCCTCTTCAGCCAGTCTTAGAGAGATGATATAAATAAACATCAGTCTATTAATTATGCATCCATCTTAATTACGCACTGCAGGCGTGCTTAACGAGTAGATTTCTTTCTCAGCCACTCGCGCTTGTGGTGAGTTTGGCATGCTCAGTTCAAACTAATGAATGTGAATGAAGTGTTTACTGCATGCATGGACATGCTTATTGCGTTGCTTTTGCATGTCAGCGATGATGACATGTAGGAAAAAGGACTTTCATACTTAGAAAATAAATCTCTTAATAAACTAAGTAGTAAATATAAGCATCTTAAAAGAGGTTTGTTTGCTTGATGATATTTTATGCCTGTTCTATGCAGGCTGGATAAGTTGGTGGTCCTGTTGTAGTGTGTGTGTGTGTGTGTGTGTGTGTGTGTGTGTGTGTGTGTGTGTGTGTACTGTGCTGTTTATCATGGTCTTCCTCCCCACCCTCATTTGCTCTCTGACCCAGGTCTGGATGCCAGTCCCCCGGCCAGTACTCATGAACTCACCATTCCCAATGATGTGAGTACAGACAAGTGCACTGTATTTTCAGCCCTGTAGGGCTCTGGCACATTATGTGTGGGCTAAATGAACACATAAAATGCTCCAGCACATTTCTAGTACTTTCCATTAGCCAAATTTCCAACACAAGTAACATTATTTTCCCTTCAGTGGGCTAAACTGACATTTTGAATTACGACTGATAAACCAATTGCCTCTTTTAATAACATGAATCAAATAAAGTGCTACACCAATAGTAAGAGGCTGCTGGCTACTTGCAGTGTGCAGTGATTTCAGTATTGGTGCAGCAGCATTCCAATACAGCAGGAGTGAACTTACTCACCTCATATTATTTAGTCATAAACAGCAACACAGATCAGCCAAAGTCAAAATAATCACTTGGCTGATTGCTGATTGCATGTTTGGAGCAAAATTCTGCCGATTGAGATCTTGGCCGATTTCGATTGTCCATCCCTAACATACTGAATATGGGAGATTTAAAACAGTCACAAGGAATGGCTGGGGAGGTTAATATAACTAAAATTAGTTGTTTTACAGTCTTTAACACCGTAGGAGTTGTGAGGAGTCACTGGCAATAACACAAACATGTAATGTAATCTTAATTATTTCAGACTCACTCACAGCTCTTTGAAACAGGCAGAAATATTTAGTTGAAAGTGCTGTTTCAAAATATTAAATCAATAGCAAACATTGCTTTTGTTTGAAGGAGTGGAGATAATTTATTATGATAAATGATGATGAAGTCTACAATAGTGCAGGCTTGAAGCTGTCAATACAGAAAGTATGCTAAATTGAATAGAAATGTTACTCATTGTGTACAACCCTGTTTATAAAGAAATTGGGACACTGCAAAATGTAAATAAAAACAAAATGCAATGATGTGCAAATCATTTAAATCATGTATTTAATTGAAAATAGTACAAAGACAACATATCATGTTGAAACTGAGAAATTGTATTGTTTTTTTGTTTTTTTTTTAATATATGCCCATTTTGAATTTGATGTCAGCAACATGTTTCAAAAAAGACAGGAGCAACAAAAGACTTGTGTAATGTTAAAAAAACACCTGGTGGATCTTACAACTACTTAGGTCAATTGGCAACAGGTCAGTAACATGATTGGGTGTAAAAAGCATCCTAGAGAGACTGAGACTTTCAGAAGTAAACATGGAGAGGGGTTCATCACTGTGAAAGACTGTGCAGGCAAATAATGTTTTGCAAGGTAAAAATAGCAAAGAACTTGGGGATTTCATTATCTACTGTACATAATATAATTAAAAGATTCAGAGAATCTAGAGAAATATTTTGTCAGGTGATTTCAGTAAGACAATGCTAAACCACATTCTGTGTGTATTACTACAGCATGGCTCTGTAGTAAAAGACTCTGGGTGCTTAACCGCCTGCCTGCAGTCCAGACCTGTCACTCATTGAAAACATTTGGCACACTAACCAAACTGTGACTAAGGAGACCCCAAACTGTTGTGCAGCTGAAATCCTATATCAAGCAAGAATAGCGAAACATTTCACTTCCAAAAGTTGGTCTCCCAAACGCTTACAGAGTATTGTTAAAAGAAGAGGTGATGTAACACAGTACCCCCGTCCCAACTTTTTTGAAACGTGTTGCTGGCATCAAATTAAAAATGGGCATATTTAAAATAAAAAAAAAAAAAGCAAAAACATTTCTCAGTTTCAACCTTTGATATGTTGTTTTTTCGCTATTTTCAAATAAAAATGTCTGGTTTAAATGATTTGCACACCATTCCATTGTTTTTATTTACATTCTGCACAGTAACCCAACATTTTTTTACTAATTAATAGCGTAATGACATTTAAATATATAAAAAATCGACAGTAACAGCTGTAGAATTCTAAAGGTTAAGGGCAAGTAGGAAACTGCGATTCATTTCTTCTGCCAGAGAGCTGTCCATCTCTCTTCTCCCCAGAGTACGATTTTGCTTTTTAAGAGCCTTTGCAATTTCTTCCCAGCTAATAGGCTGCATAATCGGGCGCCAGGGAACCAAAATCAACGAGATCCGTCAGATGTCTGGAGCACAGATCAAAATCGCTAATGCCATGGAAGGGTCATCAGAGCGCCAGATCACCATCACAGGAACCCCCGCCAACATCAGCCTTGCCCAGTACCTCATCAACGCAAGGTAAGGAATGCGCTGGCTCCACACCAGCACAGAGGAAAAACATCTGGCTTTGTCTCAGCCTTCAGAAACAAGCATTTACGTGAAACTCTTTATCAAACAGCACCTGCTACAGGGCTCTTGCTATTGTAAAATGTTTGGTTGACCTACAGAGGCCTTATACAGGTTATGTGTATTGTGTATTTTAGTTGTAAAGTGCACAAGAACATTGAGTTCTGTCATTGAGATGAAAGCAGCACATATGAAATGTATCAATCATATTATTGATGTGTTTCAGTAGTAATGTTTGCAGAGCAGTGAATGAAATGGAGCAGGTTTAGAGCCGCATGCCTATGAGGTGTGAATGTGTTTGTATGTGTTTGTGTGACGGTGAGGTTTGCAGACCAGCAGCTGGGGACGTACTAATGGATATTGCTTTCCCACAATTCCGCTGGCAGGTTCAGAGACGTGGCAGCCATGTGGAATGACCCCTCATCAATGACTACATCCTGAAGCCCCAAAACTGCTCTCATTATCTGAAGCTAACAGCAGCTGTTTCCCTATTAACCTTATGTATCAGACTCCCTTAAATCTCCCGGCTCCCCCGAGCCTGCTCTCCTTATCGAGAATCCTCCAACGGTAGCTAAATGTGTATAGGTGGGCTACTGTAAAAGAAAAAGAAAAAAATATATATGAGGAAAAAGTGTGGTTTAATTTTCATCATGTTATGTAGTGTTTGAATACAGTGTCTCAGCATGCTGAATGATTAGGATCCTGCTGTGTTACCATTTATTATTTTCTCTTTGATAGAGTAGTTGAGTATGGTTGCTTTCAGTTGTGTAGTTCCTTGCCCGGAAAGCTTTAAAAATATATATATAAAAAATGCAAAACAAGAAAAAAAGAAAAAATAAGCAAATTTGCTAGCGAACAATGCTTTTGGCCAGGGAAGAGTGATGTGATAACATCCACATGAGGATGTTGTAATGAGGGGGGAGTTATTTTAATCAGAGCAAATGAATATGCCTGACAGAGTGCAGATGTTTTGAATGATTATGTTTGTCCAATTATATGACTGCAGTAATGACTGTATTCTTTTAACTTGTTCTGAATTGTTTGTGTTTTTGTGAAAGGGATTTTATTTCAAGTTTGCCAGGTGCTTGACTGTTTTCTTCTCGACTGCATCAGTAAATACAAATGCATGATCATTATGCAGGACTGTACGAAAACCATGGAGCTTACTAGTGAGCTGGATAGAGCTGTCAATTTTCTACAAATGTTTTCAGAATTATTTTATTTTCTCTATTTTTTCTATCTCTCCCCCCCCACCCCTTACCTTCCCCACCCCTGTTTCCCCTCCCGTCTTCCCCTGGCTGTTCTAGGCTGACGTCTGAAGTCACTGGAATGGGCACTCTCTAATTTCTACCCATCATCCTTCACTGCATCACATGACCCCTGAGCCAATGGCATTGCACCTAGTTTGTTTTCTCTTTCTCTGTACTCGATTATCCTGTATTTTAAGTGATTATAGCTCATTTATATTCTATGATCTCTACATATTTAAAAATCTCCAGTTCAGTGTCGTTCCTACTGGTCCTGCGTTGTTATCTTGATGCTCCCTAATTTCCCCTAACCTCTTGATTTTGAAGGACACTTTACTTTTTTGACACTCTAGTACCTTTCATGTCACTCTCTGGCGCTCTTCTTTGCCATAGATTTTCACTGTGAATTCACATCTTTCATCGTACTTTTTCGTTGTTGTTTGTTTGTCCTCCAATCCAATTCTCCTGTGAGATCTGCACTGCTGCTATCAGAAAACCAATCACTACTGCTGATTTCTTCAGAAACCAAATCAGTAATTAGTAAAGCAAACAGCCCTGAGGTTTGTAGAAGCTCGAAACCGAAGGCTTTCATTTTCTGCAGCAGGTAGCAGCGACAGCAGTGCCTCTCACACCTGAATTGCCCCAGAGATTGGTGGGTTGTTGCACTCTTGCATTTTTACATGTCTGTTTTTGCTGCATGACACAACACAGACTGTCCATTATCAGCCTGCATTCTGCATTCACTTTCAGAGCTGCTGACCACAAAAAAACAAACAAACAAGAAAAACATAAATAAATACAAAAATAGCATATAACCTGACTTTTGTGTTCACTGTGTTACAGCATGGTCAAAGATCCACACCACAAATGTAAGTTGAATATGACAGAATTTGTTTGTAGTCTATTTTCATACACAATATCTTTGTAATAGTTGGTAATATCTTACAAAGTAAAAAAAAAAACTGAAAAATGAAAGGTTGCTGGTATCTTTGAAAGTGAATAGAGACAGGCTGATAATAAAACCTGTCCCTTTTCTTTTCCCATTGAGACATGTATGGAAGTGTGTCATACATACATACCGCCCAGCACATTATTACTTATTTCACATATTGCTCTCCAGACGTTCCACCAAAACTCCATCCGTTAGCCAAACAGGCGAGACATGCGTGTGCCTGCATACTTCACATGCAGATGAAAGGTTGACAGCTTTTTGCACATGCGAATGAACACACAGCCAGCGCAAGTGCCAATGATAACATCTCTTCAGCATGGCAATACGTTTCTCAGTCGTCCATACGGCACCACATCCATCAGCATAGGATCAGCCTGATTTATGACCATTGCCTTAGGGCAGTGTTCACCAACACTCCTTCTGGAGATCTGCCTTCCTGTATGTTTCATGAGACTCCAAAACTAATACACCTCATTCACCTAATCAAGGACTTCTGAAGGCAATAATTAGAAGGATCAGGCGGGGTTGATTAGGGTTGGAGCTAAAGTCTGCAGGAAAGTAGATCTCCAGTGTTCATGAACGCTGCTTTAGGGCCATGAAATGTCCATAAGTTCAGATGAGAATCGTAGCACAGAGATCCTCAGACGATAGTGGGGGTATCACTTTTATCTCTCTCTAATGCATTAGAGCGGAATCCTACAGTGCTGTTAGGGACTCTGGACCCCAGTCTGCCTCCCTTGTAATCATGATTGTTCTTCTTTTTTGCCATTTTTAGTTCACTTTTGATCCTTGATCCTTGTTGTGCAGTCCAAATCTCCAGCTGATATAGTTTTCTTTGTGTGAGTGATGGCCGTGCTGAACTCGCCGTTGCTGAACTTGAGGTCTATCAACAAGCACAGCTTTATTAGTAGACTGTAATCAGTGTGTGACTGGACTCGCTGTCTGCATTTAGACCCACTGTGCACACCAGAAGACACCTACAGAGATACAACCCATCGTCTCGCTGTTCCATGCAATTGCTTGTACTTCCCAGGACCTTTTGGTTTTTAATCTGGTGTTAACGTTTCATGGTGAGACCCTTTCAGAGCCATGTGTAGCATTTATTTGATGGTTTGATTCAATATAGCCATCAAAGCCCTGGGCTTTAGCTCTGGCCGTTTGCATTCCTCCTGAAGGTGGCACTCCAACCATCAGTCCTTTTAAGCGCACATTGCCTCCCCCGATCCAAGTAACTAGACCTTATCAGTGTTAATAAACTAGCTGTGTTCATCCTCAACATTTAAATCTGCTGAGATTTGATACTGAGGCTGAGAGTTGAATGTAATTTCTTCAGAGCTGACTATTCAGTCTTTAAACTGATCTCCACAGTTTCTAGCTCTCTTTATGATAGCAACGCTTCAGATTTGGCTGCAAGATGTCTCCAAAGAAGATCACTTTCTGGTTTTCTAGACTCAGACTAGATACAATCTTGAGCTAATTAGCTATAGGGACTAGGATTAATCTGTGTCTTGAATACCCACTCTTTAAATTCTTTACATGCACTCGACTAAATGTGTTAGTTTGTAGAAATCCACATAAAAGCTACTCAGATACTGTATATGGTGTCTGCTGGACATCGAAGCAGCCCTACCACACTGTGGAACAAATTAAAGATATGCAACTGAATGTTAATCCACCACACAACATTTTCTGAGGTAATTAAACTGAAGTTTGTTTATTCGTGAATTATTTTCAGCTGTGAGCTCTTTTGTAACTTAGGAAAAAAAAGAAGTATGCACACGATTAATTTATGACAGTGGCGCACATGACCGAGATGATATAATACTGTCACTTTGAAACGGCTAAATTAACTGAGATTATAGTTTTTTGTTTGTGTTTGAGCATCAGTAATCTGCTAGAGATTCTTTTCTTTATCTCAGTTACATTATGTTTTGCACTGTAGGACTTTGTGTCAGTGTCTTAGGCTGTTTTTAATCATTCAGTTAGATTGTATGTTTCAACAAGACTGTGTCTTGTACTATTTGTATGGAATGTTCTGTTATTTTTGGTCTATAATGTGCAGTACTGTAGCTCATTGTACAGAAGCAAGTATTCTCACAGCATGCTTCATAACTGTGACACTTCCAAGAAGCTTAGAGCTTTGCCAAGGGAGGCAGTATACCACTTTTTTGTTTATTATTATTGTTATTATTATTGTTATTATTATTATTATTTCTACTACTACTACTACTACTACAAATGCAATAAAATCAGTTAGGAGTGCGATGATGCAATGATCAAAACTCAAATGCAAACATGGTTCAGAGTTGTTTTTTCTTCAAACTGCTTTTTTGCTTTCATTCATCATCTTTGTCCATCACTACATTGCATTTGCTCGTCTTCATTCAAGTCACATACTGTATTTGCACATGTAACTTCAATAACTCATTTGCAGACTTTACTGTTGCTGACATCTAATGCATACACATCCATTTTTATTCATGTTATTTTCTTTGTTCACGTACAGCTTTTTCATTGTACTAGAGCAGCAAAAAAACCAAGGGCCCTTTTCCTGTTTGTGCTTCTGTAAAAAATTATGCTGTTTGGAAATGTAACAAAGTAATTATTTAACATTGGATAATTTGCTGCTTGCAGGTCTGTATTAGTTTTAAATGACTGAGGTTAGGTTACATTTGAACTGTTTTGTAAAAGGAGAAAAATAAAGTTTCTTTTTCCCTTGATCAATGTTGTGGTTGTTTACCATTATTTATCATGTCCACTTTACTCCAAGAAGAACAGATGTGGTCTTCAGTCTTCCGTCTACAGTCACTGTGCTTTGTAAATTCATATCACAGGTTACCAGCACGGGCCTACCACTAGAGGGCTCTGAATGTTGCAAAGACACTTAATGAACTTCATCTAATGTGGCTGTGTTATTTAACACTGTAATCATATTGCAATAATTACTTCATAATATTAGATAATTGCATCTCCTTGAAGTGCGTTATTGTATTGACAAACTCTGGCTGACTCCTGCACAGATGGGTAGTTAATTGTCAGGCCGAGGGCATTGTTTTTCTGGGCCGGCCTAAATGTGACTAAATAGCTGCTGTTGTCTGTAGGTCACTGTGACCTGCTGTTGTTTGTAGGTCATCTGGTGTGCTGGAATTCTGCAGGGTAGGGATGGGATGAGTTGTGATGGGGTTACCTAAGTTTACCCAAATACAGCCAGAATCAAGGTTACACCCGAACCGTCATATGCTTTCTCTACCACTGGATACAGGACACTAGCAGCAACATCTGATGGCTAAGAAACACAGCTTTTACTATATAAGATATAAATTCTGTGTGACATCACTTCACCAGTATCTGTTCATACTGTGTTATAAAACCGTGAATTCTACTCTTGTATAACTGTTAGATTCCTAAATTTATAAGGGCAGTTGGTTTTATTGAGTTGGGTTGTGGTTTCCTCACTCTGGCCCAGGCTCAAAGCACCAGGGAAAAGCAGTGTCAGAGCGCCAGTCCCAGTCCACCACTGCGTTTCCAAATTAGCATCGTCACTCCAGGGAGATGTGAGGTCACCTCTAGCCTGCCACCGTCACTGCTCCCAAAGAGTTTACTTTCGGCTGCAAATCAGATCAAATTAACGTGGCTCCTTATTGCGCTCCCAAAGTCCCTGAATACATTTTGGCTCTCCAAATCACCCCCCACTACCCCTCCAAAGAAAAATAAATAAATTAATTAAGAATAGCAAGCCAGAAGATAAACATGCCGGTGTGGCAGAGTTCAGCGTGTTATCGTTGGCAATGGGCTTGGGCGTTAATCTGACATTTGACTTTCCATTTATTGTATGAACCTGGCAGCCAAGGACAGCTGACACACACAACTCATACACACTCCCAGGTTTATGAAAGTCCTCAGAAAAACTGGCCTGTTGGCAGAGACACTGGAAATTCTGGCTAGAAATAATTAAAGGCTTAGTGACGCTCAGTAGTCTCTAGTCTCTAATTTTACAGTTCTCCATTATCATTGATGCAAACATACACTGTTGTCACACTGGCCTGAACTGAGGTTGTTTAGGCCTACAAAGCAGGGCTCATTTGAAGTTGGTCCTGATGCATTATGGGAAGCACCTTTAGGCCCGTATCTTCTCTTGTATTTTAATAAAGTCCACCGAAAATATTTGTATTGTGTTGTCCTAGGCTATGTCTACATTACAAGCCTCATTGCTCAATTCTGATTTTTTGCTCAGATCCGATCTAACTTGATGGTTTACATTTGTGTAGGTAAGTGACTCCAATCAATCATTAATGTAAACAAACCCCCTAATCAATAACATCATCCTAATCAATAACATCAGGTGAATGAACCACATCTATCATGAACAACAAACTAACCAGCAGAATAAGGCTTGGTCTCGAAGATAATATTATTAGAACTTATTAGAGCAAAACGAAGGCAAAAAAGAGTCAGATGCTTTGATTTGAATTCGAAACGAATTCTGATATGTTCACACATCCTATTTTCTTTTATTTGAATTTGAAACGAATTCTGATACGTTCACACATCCTATTTTTTTGCCCTAATGCGACAACAGATCTGATTTTTTTCAGAGCTGTGTGGACACACAAATATGATATTTTAAACTTTTCACTTTCATATGTGTTCCTAGGTCAAAAAACTCAAAAAAGATTTGTGGCCATGTGACCTTAATGAGAAACGGAATTCATGTTTAATTTTTCCCTATGCATGCGCCATCATTCAACGTTAATGGCAGCAACTCTAATCTAAAGTTAGTGCCAATAAACAGTGCAAAAGTAACCATTTTTCACCTTCATTTTGCTCTAATTATGAACAGCTGAGAGCTGTTTAGAGCAGATTAGAGATAGATAGAGGTGCATCATCTCGCCCTCCAAACTCTTCAAAATTTTCTGGCGTAAATATGAATCGTTGATGCTCTTCTTGAATCCCAGGACGTCCGTCACTCCAGATTGGACATCATCCTT